TGTCGGAGATCCCAGGTCCACGTTACGTCAATATAACCCTCTCCAGCTGGCAAACTCAACACTTGTATATTCGTTATAGTTGCACCAAACAGTGAAATTAATATGCAGAGTTAGATAAATTTACACCGGACTAAATAGATAGACTGACGGGGGTTTTCATCTCCCTGAGTCTACATTAAACGTTACTAAGCACGGGATTTGATTATGTTGACACGGAGGATGAGAAAGGATGAATTTTAATCCGTTTCGTAACTTGCCATCCCCAAACATATGTGTTAATTGTGATGGTATTCCATACTCACGTACCACTGGTGTATAATGTATGCATAATATTTTCACAAATACCCAGGTTTTCGATATTTCTTAAAAGGCTCATTAAATGTTGACGCTGGCTTGGGAAGCAACACCCCCTAAAACCTGTGATTCATTTTAAACGTCCAACATACTTTGATACGAGGTGTTCGGGAAAGGAATGGAAGTTAATTAAAGGGAGATTTCGTCTAATGATTTCTAACTAATTGCTTGTATGATGCTGATATTAGATTTTAGGCGGATCAAAGTGATTCTAAATTCTTTAATTCCAGTTGCAGGGAATTCCTTGAGCTGTAGAATATTGCTGAGACATAGCTCACATAACGAGCCCATCTGGGGAGGCTTACGTTACACGTCTTGTTTTTAATATAGTTACTACTTATACCGTCTCCTTTCTTTCTAACTAGTCACTAGTTCCATTCCTCCTTGCTTCTTCGTCCCTCAGTCCCGCTCCTCCCTGCTTGCTGGACCCTCTGTACCCATCCCTCCTTCCTACAACCTCCCACGGTCCCTACTCCCTCCTTGCTACTTCGCCCCTTTGTACCATTCCTCCTTGCTACTTCGCCCCTTTGTACCATTCCTCCTTGCTACTTCGCCCCTTTGTACCATTCCTCCTTGCTACTTCGCCCCTTTGTACCATTCCTCCTTGCTACTTCGCCCCTTTGTACCATTCCTCCTTGCTACTTCGCCCCTTTGTACCATTCCTCCTTGCTACTTCGCCCCTTTGTACCATTCCTCCTTGCTACTTCGCCCCTTTGTACCATTCCTCCTTGCTACTTCGCCCCTTTGTACCATTCCTCCTTGCTACTTTGTCTCCCAGCTTCATCACTCCTTGCTTCTTCGTCCCTCAGTCCCATTCCCTCCTTCCTACCTCGTCCTTCAGTCCGATTCCCTCCTTCCTACCTCGTCCCTCAGTCCCATTCCCTCCTTCCTACCTCGTACCTCAGTCCCATTCCCTCCTTCCTACCTCGTCCCTCAGTTTCATCCCTCCTTCTTGCCTCGTTCCTCTGTACCACTCCCTCCTTACTACTCCGTCCCTTTGACCTCTCCCTACTTGCTACTCCGTCCCTCAGTCCCGCTCCTCCTTGCTACTTCGTCCCTCAGTTCCTTCCTATCTCCTTCCTCAATCCCTACTCCTTCCTTGTTATTCGTCCCTCAGTCCCATTCCCTCATTGCTTGTTCGATCCTCTGTATCCCTCCCTCCTTCCTACCTCGTCCCTCAGTTTCATCCCTCCTTCCTATCTCGTCCCTCAGTCCCTACTCCATCATTGTTACTTCACCTCTTAGACCCACTCCCAAATTTTAACATCGTTCCACTGTGCCACATCTCCCTTTCTATCTCGTCCATACGATCGATTTCCTCCTTTCTACCTCGTTCATTAATTCCACTTTTCTATGTCCCTTTCATGGTTTCGTTTTTTTATTAATCGTTAGGCATTACAAATTTTCCCCAGAACACATGTCACAGATATGGGAGTTTGTGTTATATAAGAAATGAGAGCATCTGGTTTGTAACGTGTGTGCTTTTCCTCGTTTTTATTGGTAACGTTTCCGACGCCGCGCTCCAAGTGGCTCCTGTCTTGGAAAGAATTGTATGAACGTGATTATCATTTTTTTGTATTTGTCCGTAAATAAAGTGCACGTGATCACTATTTCAACGATTGCCAAATCTAGGCTATAACAGCAATACATGATCTGTAAATGTTTTTTTTTAGTTTAGTGATACTAGTAACAGATTATCAAACAATATTGTAATTATCGTATGATCAAGAATGATAATCAAATGAAATGGAAAAATCCATATTAATTAGGTTTCGTATCTATTGATGGAGTACATAATAAGACCAGTATGGCACAGTGCTACATTATACTTATGGATAAACCAGGCCAGATGTTTGTTTTTTCTTGACAGTTGTTATTCATTTAGGAGTCCATAACTGTCACATATGTGTGTGATGACCTGTTACAGAAGTACGTACAAATCAACCTACAAGCTCTCGACCTGTGTCAAAATGATCTATTTTAAAACCTAACCAGTTTTGAAGAATGCTATCTATTGCAACTGTTTGAATCTTGCACCAGTACATAGCAGTATCTTGCACCAGTACATAGCAGTGTCTTGAACCAGTACATAGCAGTGTCTTGCACCGGTACATAGCAGTGTCTTGAATCAGTACATAGCAGTGTCTTGCCCCAGTACATAGCAGTATCTTGCACTAGTACATAGCAGTATCTTGCACCACTACATAGCAGTATCTTGCACCAGTACATAGCAGTGTCTTGCACCATTACATAGCAGTGTCTTGAACCAGTACATAGCAGTGTCTTGCACCAGTACATAGCAGTATCTTGCACCAGTACATAGCAGTGTCTTGCACCACTACATAGCAGTGTTAATTGTCATCTTTTTACAATGACAGACATACAGTATACATTTTACTGAATGGTATTTGATTTAGAAAAATATCCATGTACAATGCAGACGCTTAGCATCTCACATTACTAGATGTTTCAGTAAAGTCCCGAACGGGAAAGTAGGAACAAGTTGATTTGTAATGACACCAGTAATGTCCATGTGAATGTGAATGGATGAAATATGCCTATTAACGACGAGCCAGTTCGTATCTCTTTAATTACCATATCGCATGATGATGCAGATAACAAAGGACTACTTTTATATGTCGCAACATTGTGTAATCTTTACAGGACTGTTTAACTATATTCTTTTTATTTTACATATAGTGGACTTTGTTTACGAGTATGCTAATAATTTCAATAAACTGATTTGTTTGAATGTTCCACAGTTCATTGTTGTTCATGAAATCTGTAAAATATATGTATACTTTCTTTGATATAAATACTCAAGTAAATTTTCACTAACTTCCATTCATTTTAAAGGTTTTGATATTGAAAATGAGATGTTCAACAATAATTGTATCTAATAAAGAATTATCATTAAGAAGTCTGGTCTTTCCTGATTGTGTACACTCCCGGAGTTGTATTTCTAGATTGTCTACACTCACAGAGTTGTCTTTCCATATTGTCTAACATTCACGGAGTTGTCTTTCCTGATAGTCTACACTCACATTGTTGTCGTTCCTAGTTGTCTTCGCACATAGAGTTGTCTTTCATTGTTGTCGTAACTCACATAGTTGTCTTTCCTGATTGTGTACACTCCCGGAGTTGTATTTCTAGATTGTCTACACTCACAGAGTTGTCTTTCCATATTGTCTAAATTCACGGAGTTATCTTTCCTTATTATCTATTCTCACAGAGTTGTCTTTCCTTATTGTCTACATTCATGGAGTTGTCTTTCCATATTGTTTACACTCAAGGGTATGTCTTTCCATTGTTTTCTATTCTCCTCCCAACACCATTTTCCTTGTACACTGTACATTATAATTGAACACGTCACGTACTTTTTATTTTCTAATATTTATATATAATAAGTTTCCTGAATATTACTGGTACTTTGAAGTGTCTGACAGCTGAACAAATAAGGCGAGGTTTTTGTATCCAGATTGTATCTCCTTTACAATCCCAACACCGGGACCACCAAATTATAATATCTCGCTACGTTTGTGTCATGTGAAACAGATATACCCAGATTATCTTCGTGTTGGTTTCCATATTTATAATAATATGTCGGTCCTACTGATTATAACACGCAATACTATATATAAGGATGATAAATTAACAGAAAATATGCAAAAACATTAAATCGGTTATCTTTTGATCTATTTATATATGACAGACAAAATGGGAGTCAGCCATTCAATCATTTAAACATTTGATATACGGTGTCTGGAACCATTAATAAAACACACTGATTTTCACGTTCTTTGTCACACGACACTTATTGACGCGTTTACTCTCACGCATATAAAGTCTGAACCACTACATAAAACATGATGAAACACATACGACATTTCCCTCAAAGGACACGACTCCATAGTCCACTGATACTGTTTACACGTGTCGCCTCTGTGTGGTTGACAGACCAAACAACTACTACAGCAGGTAGAGAAATCTGATACAGTTATATATAACAATACCTGTCCCCTTACTCAACGCCATGATAAACATGTTATAAAATATGTAGTACAGTACACCAAAAAACGTCTCAGTGAAAAACTGAAAAATTTAAGTTTAGGAAAACATAAATACATCACCATTGTGCCTATGCAAGGCTGTGTTTAAGATACCTTTCATTAAGAAGAATATAAAAAAAAACTCGAAAACTCGAAAGTCTTTAACTTAAAAACAGTTAAAACGCAATAAACGTAATTATAATATGAATTCATATTGGCTCTATTCTGACTTCAACACACTATTGGGATTGTTTTGAATTAATAGAACTAGCGGGTCAGATGACAAAATATCCCCAAAAGCTGAAGGTGTTGTCTTATTTTGTACAATTAATAGTCAACTTCAAAGAAATTCATTGAAAAATTCGTTCAGAATAAATATATTATTTATGCGAAATATATTTAAAGATGATAGTTTTCAGACCTGATTCTTTTGATTCATTAAACAGTCCCTAGAATTGCAGAGGAAGGGATAATACATATGTGTTCCTCTTTATGGTTATTTGTTGCTGCCATCATGTATGTAATTACAGAAGTGGAAATAAACATAGATCGATTGTAAAACATGGTAAAAGTGGCAAATAACTGTTTTGTTCTCACCTTTGTTTTGACGCCGTCATAAGTTGGTCCAAGCTTTACGTATATTCCCCAGGTGTGTTGTTGTATAGACGTAATTTATAGCCATTTTTGCTTCCTCCGATACATTCTGCCTCTTTTTGTGTATACAAGATCACTGATGAACGAACAGCTCTATTCCTAGCCGCACGTGCTCGCGTGCTTGAAGCGTCTGCTACTCTGTTAAATTGAAGGCCTCGTCTCCAGAGAACCTCAAACAAGCAGACGACAATTTGTCAGAGGCGTAAAACGATCAGCTGAACAAAACTCTTCCAGTAAATAATGAAGTATTGCTGTCGACTCTTAAATTCCTCCGAAGTACACTCGCTCCTGAAAACTTTCCAAGTCCGCGAAAGTCGTTGTGTGGTTCATGTTATTTCGACAGATCTGTTTTAATTTGGGTTCTACGTCAGCTGATTTGAGGCAGACTCAACACTGTGAAGATTGTATGCGTAAATTGTAAGTAATCCTTCGAATCGGATACATCCTTATCTCAGAAATCCCGAGGGATAATACACCATGAAAGTTATTTTGCGTGAATTATTGTCAAACCGTCATGCAGAGGTCTATATTATAACTGTATACCTTTGTGCGATCCTGCTAAATTTATTCCGAGACGTACGGAGGATAAAAACAGTCTCCTTTGATGGAGCAAGCGTCGGCCATGAAGTGACGACCACGGTTGGGTTGAGGCCATCTGTCATGGTCGAACCCTGAGTCAGGTTTCTTTGCTAGCGTCAATAAGTGATTCAGCATACCATAGTTACACATTTAAATCAAAATAGGTGAGACTCGTTTAGAATTCAAATGCTCGTTTAATATTTGCTATGCCTGTGTTTTCATCCCGCGGTCGTCTACAGACCAGGTTTATATTCCCTTCAATCATAAAAAGCGTATCTATAGTAATTTTGCATGATAAACGCCTCGATATGATTCACGCACAATCAATACCGCTGTGCGGCATTAATAAGGCCGTGTATTTCATTCCATTCGGCTTGAGGCCTCAGCAAATCTCTTTCAGTGATTTTTGTTTTGTTATACAAATTTATTTTCTTTTTTTTCTATTAGTCTTTATAGATGAATGTCCTATTTTCTATAGATCACTTACGTCCTTTTAATCCTCGACAGAACAAGCTTTATAAGTCACGTGCATGCCTTATGTCATTTCCGGGCAACACGTGGCACAGGTATAAATGTGCCGTTTGTATCAATTATGTAATTAGATATGTTCTTTGATAAGGAGCGTTAGAACCTGATTTATGTGTGTACCGCTACTCGATCACAGTGCTAAGTTGTGGCGTTGTTACTTGTTAGTCCTGCAGTCTACCATTAAATAATGATATGAATAACTACAGTATGGTACACTGTGACGCCTTATGTGTCAATGGCTGTTAAATGAAATGGTCATTTAATTATGTGAGGGGGTTATTTATCCATATGTTATACATATGTGTTATTATACAGTTGTTACCCTCTATAGACGAATAGAGTATCAAGAACGTCATCAACCTTACTTATGCACCTCACTGACCTCATTTAACAAATTTATTGTATCAGAGGACATTTTTTTCCGACATAAAAACAGTTTACCATAGTTACACATTTAAATCAAGTCAGGTTGTTTGCCAAATATAAATATAATAATCCTATCTGCTCATTAGAAATGTAATATGAACCAATCCTCAAAATGTGTCTAATCTAATGTCTTTTTAATTATTTAAACACTTTATTTGCCTTATTTGAGTTTTCCCTGACTGACTATTTACCCCTGCTTTGTTCCTGGCTCCACCGTTACCGCCTGTTCGTAGTACTCCATTATCCATTCTCCATTCCATGGCGACAGTCGAATGATAGCTCTAGACCAATGATTTCCTGTAATTGTAATTATTGTCGGAGTGCAATCATTTCCTATAATAGGTCGTCATTTCATTGTAGATATGGACGAATGTTTAAATGGGTGCTTCTTTACTTACTATTTTAGCGAGTGTTTTACGTGAGGTTGTTGACACTGCTCGTGGACTATCACTCTCTGAGGTTGGCTGGAACTTCGTAGCTGGAACTAATTCTGGTAGAGTTTACCTGTTTAGAATTAAAGTATATATTATAGCCAAACTTGTAAGGTTATACAGATTTTGAAAACCTTCTTTTCCTTTTGCTGTATAACATCATCTGCTGCTGAGCACGTTTGATAAGGAATTTCATTCTTTTGACAGTAAATCAGTATCACAGATGAGTTCTAATTGGAGGAAATGTCCATAGAGTGAAGAAAATAACTAATTTCTTTAAATTTCTACATCGATAAAAAAAGGTTAAGTAGATGCCTCATTTTCCTGTATATCGAGGGATAAGCTACAACAAGCTGATAGTGTTATTTAGACTAACATCTATGAACAAACTTATAGTGGTATTCAGACCAACGTCAATAAACAAGCTTATAGTGGTATTTAGACCAACGTCAATAAACAAGCTTATAGTGGTATTTAGACTAACGTCTATAAACAAGATTAGTGGTATTAAGACTAACGTCTATAAATAAGCTTATAGTGGTATTTAGACAAACGTCAATAACAAGCTTATAGTGGTATTTAGACTAACGTCTATAAACAAGATTAGTGGTATTTAGACTAACGTCTATTGACAAGCTTATAGTGGTATTTAGACTAACGTCTATAAACAATATTATAGTGGTATTTAGACCAACGTCTATAAATAAGCTTATAGTGGTATTTAGACTTACGTCTATAAACAAGCTTAGTGGTATTCAGACTTACGTCTATAAACAAGCTTATAGTGGTATTTAGACTAACGTCTATAAACAAGCTTATAGTGGTATTTAGACTAACGTCTATAAACAATATTAGTGGAATTTAGACTAACGTCTTTAAATAAGCTTATAGTGGTATTTAGACTAACGTCTATAAACAAGCTTATTGGTAATTAGACTAACGTCTATAAACAAGCTTATAGTGGTATTTAGACTTACGTCTACAAACAAACTTATAGTGGTATTTAGACTAACGTCTATAAACAAGCTTATAGTGGTATTTAGACTAACGTCTATTAACAAGCTTATAGTAGTATCTAGACCAACGTCTATAAACAAGCTTATAGTGGTATTTAGACTAACGTCTATAAACAAGCTTATAGTGGTATTTAGACTAACGTCTATAAACAAGCTTATAGCGGTATTTAGACTTACGTCTATAAACAAGTTTATAGTGGTATTTAGACTAACGTCTATAAACAAGCTTAAACAAACTTATAGTGGTATTTAGACTTACGTCTATAAACAAACTTATAGCGGTATTTAGACCTACATCTATAAACAAGCTTATAGTGGTAGTTAGACTAACGTGAATTGTTTAATGTGTTCAAAAGTCTATTAATAAGCTACAGTAACTAGTCGGAATACATTCGAACTTTTTTCTCGTTTTAACAGCATTAACCTCATAATGCCGATGATGATTGTGAAAATAAAACAAAGTTATAGCGGTTAAAACGTTTTAACACCATTGAGAAAAATGACACACGCTAAAAGTTTATGGTTGTAGCTATTTCTGTTTTTATTCCCCAGTGAAATGAGTATGTTCCAACATCTTAATCAATGTTTATTACATACTTACTAATAAATACGGGTTTTTGTATATGCGATACGACACAATTGCTCTAACCCATATCAGCCCTCGCCGTATCACACCCCAAAACCCGTATCAGCCCCCGCCGTATCACACCCCAAAATCCGTATCAGCCCGCAAAACCCATATCACACCCCTTTTGGAAAATAAATCGTTTTTCAATATTCCAAAATTAAAAATTAAATCATATGATAGTAGTTTTTATTAGTAAGTATGTAATAAACAGAATAAAACACGCCTTTTTCCATATCACACCCAGTATCAATCCTCGACCAATATCGGGTTGATACTGGGTGTGATATGGAAAACGGCATGTATTATTCTCTATTTATTACCATTTGAAAACAATATGTTCAAACATCTTAATCAGTGTTTATTATCCCGTGAAAAAAATTTGTTCAAACATCTTAATCGGTGTATATTACCCTGTGAAAACAATATGTTCAAACATCTTAATCATTGTTTATTACCCTGTGAAAACAATATGTTCAAACATCTTAACCAACTCTCAGCGGTTTATAGGGTAGTAGGATCAACTTCTACGTTTGACAGAAATCGATGGTCCATTTAGTCTTCTTGCCCGCGCTAGTATTTGTAAACGGAATCAATTTATTTGTGGATATATCTATGAATAGATTTTGACATAACCTGACACCAAATAAATCATAGCGATGATAGCATTATTTGAATAGAGGTAACGGATATGAGGAAGGATATTTCATTTCAACAAATTGTATTGACAAAGTTGTTACATGTCAATTGGATGGAATAACAGGCAAAGCCCACATAAATTCTCTCCAACGGTGGCTAAAGTAATGGATTATGTGATTTTAGATTTGATTTAATTGATACAACAATTTTGAAATGAAAATTATAGACACAAAAGTTAAAGGGATGCAACTCCTTCTGAATTAACATAACTTAAAAATACAAATACATTCACACTTCTCACATCACACATAAGTGGTAATATATGCACAGGTCACAGAAATTTTACTTATGTGTGGAGTATAATTGAAATAGGAATAGCAAAATAGAAAGGTATAAAAGCATAAAAGCATAAAGTATAAAGTCATGACTGGTTAGTATGGAGGTTAGATCATATAGAGATTAAAACGCCTGGATTTACCAATGAATAACTGTCTGTTTGTTATTCCATCACAATCAGGACAGCCTAGTAGAAAAATGTTTGTATAAATATTAACAGAAGTAAATAAAGTAAATCTGCGATATTATACAATGGACATTCAAGAAAGTAATGGGAAAATGTTGCATATTCAGAAGAGCAAGCATAAGAGGGACAGTCAGTTAAATTGTCATTGAATAAATTAAAATGTCATTATCAATAATAATATCTTCATTCAGTTTGTGTTTAAAGGTTGTAAGAGTTGGGGAGCTTAAGAAATCATTATCAGTAGTGTTAGTTGTGCTGCACATTAGAGGGAGGAAACTGTCAAAATAATTGTTAGTTCTGCATATTGGTGGATTTAATAGTCTTGTTTGTCTGAGGGAATAGGGATTATTGTTTGGATTGTTACTGAAAGGATTAAAGACATCTTGTAAGTATTGAGGTGACAGTCCATGCATTAGTTTATACATCATTATGTGTTTGTGTTTATTTCTTCTTGTTGACAGAGTTTCCCAACCAAGTTCATTATAACGTTTATTATGAGATGTTCCAGATTGAAGTCCAGTAATGATTCTGGCTGCTTCTAATTGAATAGATTATAAAAGTTATTTAGATTGGCGAGTGCAATTATCCCATACTATGTCTGCATATTCCAAAATTGGCCTTATAAATGCTATATAAATTTTAATTAATGATTTACGATTGACTTTAGTTTTAATGTAACGAAGAATGATTAAACTACTATAAGCTTTTTCATATACATGTATATTCAGAATGTGTTGTTTCCAAGATGTATCATCTTTTAAAGTCAGCCCTAAGCGTGTATGTGCTGTTGTGTCAGTGATTTGGTTGTTTTGGAAAGTTACTGGAGGGTGATGTTTGTTATATTTTCTAGAAAATATTACAGATTTAGTTTTTGTTAGGGTTGAATTTGTCGTCCCATATACCCGCCCATTCATTAAAGTTAGAGATA